GTTTCCAAATGTGACATGCTTATAGTCGAATCGAGCGGCTTGACGAGACAAATCCAACAAGCCCAAGATCACTACATTCTGATATTGCTAAGACATTCAAATTTCCAGTAGACGGTCCAGAACAAGGGAATCAGCATCAGCCGTCAATTCAAATCACTCCCAATTTGTCTTTGTTCTTCTCCTATTTACTGTTCATGCCACTCTCAAAAACTTATAAATGACCCCTCACTTCTGATGGCAAGCGAGCCTAAGGAACGAAACAAGAGAGAGATCGGAGATGGCTCTTACCACCTAGCTCCTCCTTAGCCATCGCCTGGACTTCCTATCGAACTTCAGCCCAACCCAACGTTACGGACCTAAGGCTGACCTCCATTTATCACTAGATTTCAATCAAACAGTTGATTAATACAATCTGATCTTCCTCAAGGATGATTCAGTCAACTGTAATCTACTCAAACACTAGTGGAATTATTTCAACTGGGCGTGACCCCGTGGGTTATACCCTTTTCAAGATTTTCCACTTAAAAAATCTTATATTATCTGTTTGTGTGTTGGATATTTATATAACGCTGAGATGTAAAATTCTAATTGTACTGCCACGTATATTCTAGCCCGTAACACTAGGTGTTATGTTTTTGCTTTTTTTTTTTTTCTGACATGAGGGGCGATTGAGTGACTAGTTTGATGGACTTTAAATATCAATCATTGGCAGGTTTTGGGTTACAGTTTAAGGAAGTTCTTGAGTCCGATGATGGTCTGAGGCCATCTTTTTCATTCTTATAATATGCTAATTAAGATACTGCAAATTGTGAAGCTATGTGCAGATGTTGATCGATGAACGATAATAGACATTAATCATTGATAAACATATTAGTTATGATCCATAAGGAATAGTGGTCGTGCGATGATAGGCAGTTAACTTGGTCTCTTTTTTTTTTATGAGAAGAGATTGACTGACCATGAAGACTGGTCTTAAATATCTAAATGACAAATAGATGTGATAAGCCATTGGTAAGCTCAAATGATCACCAATAAGAAACATCAAAAGTTTGGACATGGCTAATAGTTTTAGTCATTCACTTGATACGAAGGGAGATTGAGAAACATAGCGACCAAGAAGAAAGGTGTTGACAAACATTATTTAGTGCCATATGGACTTAGATCCAACAGTTCTTAGTATCATTGGGTTCATCTTGTTGAATGTTTTGACTTCATCATAAATTTATTGATAAAAAAAAACCTCAAATGATCTCAAATTTATTTTTTGTCCAAATACTCTGATGTTTTAAGATTTGAAAATCAAATGAAAAACATTTCAACCTTTTATCAATGCTTCGGGATTTATGCTTCACTCAAAAAATTATGCCTAAACCTGAAAACATTTTGATAAGCCAAACAATAAACATTCCAATAAATATAACTTTATTTTATTTGTTAGCTTATCTTACATTTAAAAATAACCATATAAAAATTTTTAACTTCATATAGACAGCAATAAAACTTCTTTCAGCATACCCATCTCTTAGTTTACAATATCAAGAAAATAATTGCTCTATAATAATTCACTTGATGTGATTTTTTTCAATTAAAATACAGGCACCGAGATAGTAACAACATTCAAAAGAAAATATAAATAAAATTATAAGATAGCCATGAACTATGGCCAGCGTTAACATATAGTATCAGAACCTTTTCTTGCTTATTCTTTGATTAAAATTTACTTAAAAAAATACTTTGTGTGTTTAGAGTTATCAAGCTGGGAAGCTCTAAACTAATTTATCTATTTCATTTAGTTAAATATTGTTATTATGAAGAATTGAAGTATTCAAGTCTTCATAATAACAATATTATGAAGAATTGAAGTATTCAATTCTTCCTGTACAGGTGGCCTCCTCTTTATAAAGAAAACAATAGGACAGCTGAGAATACAATCAACTAACCAGCAACAAGATGAGACAATAATAACAGCATGTTGCGAGATTTAAAACAGAAAAACTCGCCTTAATAGGTTCAAGAGCAATTTCCACTCCTTAAACAAAGAAAGTACCTCTCTGACTGATTCAAGAAAATGACATTGCACTCTACAATACTATGATTCAAGAAAAAGTCATTGTAAACCAACCTTACAACCAAGTAAATGACATTGCACTCTACAAATGAAACATTACCCAATTTTAGTTAATAAATTAGCATTTGCTCCATAGAGAGATATTGTGATGCAGCGGCTAAGCAAAGAAGAAGAAGAACCGCAAGGGAGATCAATGGAACAGTAACCTGAACAGGATTCTTAATATTCAATGAGTAAAAAGCTGTGTCATCCCTTCTCTAGATGAAACATATACTAGGAAAAATTAAAAGGCAGAAAGCATAATGGGAAAATGCTAAAAGGTAAAGCTGAAAAGCAAAACAGAAAGGGTAAATTGTCAGGGACAGTTCGGTAGTGCTGCTTGTCACCCAACTCTAAGTTCCGTCTGAGTAGCCAGGCTAACTAGTTCCCGCATCAGCTCATCCCAGATTCCGAGAAGCTCGACTCCGACGAAGCTGCGATAGGGGCCTCGTTGTCCGGAGGAAAGTAGCTGTATAATTCTGTTACATTGAAAGTAGAAGAAGTGCGAACCTCCGGCGGTAAATCAATCACATAAGCATTGTCGTTGATTTTGTTCAAAATCGGAAAAGGTCCCATTTTCCTTGGACAAAGCTTAGAGTATGCGCCTTGTGGATAACGTTCACGACGCATTCGAATCATTACCAAATCTCCGACGTTAAACGTCTTGAACCGGCAGTGGGCATCCGCCTTTTGTTTGTATTTTTCATTGGACTTTTGGAGATTTAGCTTCACAGTTCGGAGAGTGTCCTGAGCCTCAACCAATGTTTTGCTAGCTAGAGATCTACAGCCCTTCGGTAGGATAGCAATGTCAACCAATTGGTTGGGAATTTTAGTGTAAACTAGCTGGAATGGGCAAAGCCCCGTTGACCGGTTGGAGGTAGCATTGTAAGCAAATTCCGCATGGCTTAACAACTCTTCCCATTTCTTGTGATTGTCTTGCACTAAGCATCTCAACATGTTGCCGAGCGTGCGGTTCACTACTTCAGTCTAACCGTCCGTCTGCGGATGATACGCCGAGCTGAGTTTGATGTCCGTGTTAAGCTTCTTCCATAATTCCCTCCAAAAATGACTTACAAATTTCACGTTACGGTCGGACGTCAAACTGCGCGGCACTCCGTGTAGTCGGACAATTTCCTTGAAGAAGAGGTAGGCTATGTTAACCGCATCGAAAGTCTTCTTACAAGGGATGAAGTGCGCCATTTTAGAGAATCGGTCTATAAGCACCATAATAGAATCTGAACCTCTCTTCGTGCGAGGTAGCCCCATGACAAAATCAAGGGAAAGATCTTCCCATATAGAATCGGGAACGGGCAGAGGTAAATAGAGTCCGGTGTTTTGGGCGGTTCCCTTAGACCGTTGACAGACGAAACATTTTTCAACGAACCGCAGCACATCACGGCGTAAATGAGGCCAATAAAACCTCAACTGTAGCAGCTCTAAAGTTTTATCTCTTCCCATATGAGCGGCCAACCCACAACAATGCAATTCTTTGATAAATTGGGGACGCCAGGAGGAATCAGGCACACACAAACTATTTCCTTTTAAAAGAAATCCTTGCTGTAAGGAGTAGTCTTGCATCGGCTTGCCTATTTTACATGCCTCCCAAATCACCGAAAAATCTCTGTCTGTCTCATATAACTCATGCAGGGATTGGTCCAGTAATCTCCGTCTGGAGGCAGACGAGCAGAGCAGAGCGTCGGCTCAAAGCATCAGCTACCCGATTGCTTTTACCTGCCTTGTGCTTAATTACAAAACTAAAGCGTTGAAAAAACACCACCCATCTTGCGTGCATACGATTGATACTCTTTTGACTGTTAATATAGTGTAGAGCTAGATTGTCGCTGCATAAAATGAAGTCTCGATGGAGTAGGTAATGTTCCCACTGCTTAAGTGCACGAACCACATCGTAGAGTTCTTGTTCATAAGCTGACCAATTCTGACGTGGTCCACTCAGTTTTTCACTGGAATACTCCACAGGTTTTCCATCTTGTGATAGAACCGCTCCGATCCCCACTGCCGACGCGTCGGTTTCAACCTGGAATGGTTTGTTAAAATCAGGAAATACTAGTACGGGAGTGGTGCAAAGAGCTTCTTTGATCCTTTCAAAGCTAAGCTGTTGTAATTTTCCCCACACAAATTTTGAAGCCTTCAAACAATCAGTCAATGGGGCTGTAATTTCCCCGAACCCACGAATGAATCGCCTGTAATAATTAGCTAGCCCATGGAAGCTCCTAACTTCCGAGATAGTCATGGGTGTTGGCCAATTGCGGATGGCCGAAACTTTTGTGGAGCTGTGTGAACTCCTTCCGGAGAAAGAACGAAGCCCAAGAAGTGAACTTCGGTAGCAGCAAACTCACATTTGCTCACATTAATGAGAAGTTGATTGTCTCGAAGAATATCTAGTATGGCTCGCAAATGGCGCATATGCTCTGCAAAAGAAGTGCTGAATACAAGAATATCATCAAAATAAACTACACAGCACTTATCTAGAAATGGCTTGAGGATGTCATGCATCAACCGCATAAAGGTGGAGGGGGCATTGCAAAGCCCAAAAGGCATCACATTCCATTCGAACAATCCATCCACTGTTTTGAAGGCCGTCTTCCATTCGTCTCCGAAACGGATACGAATCTGATGATACCCACTACGCAGATCGAGCTTGGAGAAAATTTGGGCGCCAGCGAGCCGATCCAAAAGATCATTGATCCGAGGAATGGGAAACCGACATTTAACGGTAATGCGGTTGATTGCTCGGCTGTCAATACAAAGTCGCCACTGTCCGTCTTTCTTTGGAACAATCAAGGCCGGAGCTGCACAAGGACTGAGGCTTAGTTGGATGAAATTTTTCTGCAGTAATTCTTGAATTATTTGTTTTAAGATGGTGTGCTCTTTGGGGCTCATTCTGTAATGAGGCAGATTAGGTAAAACAGTGCCCGGGACGAATTCAATTTGATGTTGTAAGCTGCGCAGGGGCGGTAGAGCGGAGGGTAATTCCGTAGCTGCTACATCTGCGTAGTCCTGAAGTAAGCCTTGAATTTCCGGAATGTGACTTACTACCGAAGGATTGACAGCTTGGTCATGAACCACTAGTGCCAAAAGAGAATTAGCTTGGTCTTGACTTCTCATCAAGGCGGTACCTGATACGAGTCGCGCAGCAAACAGGTTTTGAGCCGCCCCAACACTAGAAGAATGACTACCAGGAACCAGCTTAAGTCGCTTTCCTTTCCACTCCAGAGTATAGGAGTTAGCACGACCATCATGAATGGCTCCGGTGTCATACTGCCACGGCCGTCCCAGAATTAAATGACAGACGTCCATATCAAGGACGTCGCACGTAATGTGGCACAAGTAACTCTTTCCAATTGAAAATGTTACCTTGCACAAGTCGGCAACCATGAATTCTACTCCCTTCTTTATCCAACCAATCTTATAAGGTTTCGGATTTTTTGTGATGCTGAGTTGAAGAGCTTGAACTGCCGCCCGAGATATAATATTCTCGGTGCACCCACTATCAATTACCATGTCACAAACCTTCCCGTTGATTGTGCATTTCGAACAAAAAAGACTATGCCGCTGGCTAACAACTGGCTGTCTCGGGGCTATCAGTATCTTCTCCATCACACACAACACCGGGTCTCCCTCATCTGCCAATACGACTTCGTATTGAGCATCTGCTTCTTCTTCATTTGTCTCTGATTCAGCTGCCTCATCGCCTTCTACAATCTGAGCCTGATGCCGGGTGGGGCATTCATTCGATTTATGTCCCGGCTGGAGGCAACAAAAACATTTAATTGTTGAGGGTTTGGCATACGGGTTCTTCCGTCCTCCGGCGCTTCGGGATTTCAATTGCACCTTGTCATCACCCGGTTGAGTGTGAGTAACGGGTGGAATTGTAACATGGTCCTTAGCAGGAGTACCACCCGATCTTGAGGGTCCAGTCAAGCCATCTGTTATACTTCGCCGAGGAGCCTGAGTTCGGTATGGCCTTTGCAATTGAGATTCCACCTTGAGAGCGAAATTAGCAGCCTGGGATAAGAACCGTACCGAATTGAGCTCTAATTTATCTTGGATAGCTTCCTTTAAACCCGCCGTGTAACGAGCCACCAATTGATTCTCCGTCTCTAGAAGATTGTTGTGGGCACTCAACCTGTAAAATTCTTCAGTGTACGCGTTGATGGATCGTTGCCCTTGGTGGCACTGTTGATACTGCACGTACAAAAGTTGTTCAAAGTCCGTGGGTAAGAAGTGTCGCCACAACAGACGCTTCATGCGGCTCTAGTTGAGTACCAGACCTTTGCCTTCTCGCCGCCTGCTTTGTACTACTTGCATCCACCACGCACTGGCTCCACCCTTGAGACGGCACGCCACGTACTTCACTTGTTTGACCGGTGGAATTTCCATATAATCAAAAAAAATTTCTACCGCCGCTTCCCAGTCCAAATAATCCTCGATGTGCATCCTGCCTTCAAAGAATGGAATATCAAGCTTAATGCGCATACCTTCGGGTTCTTGTCTCTGTAGTCTATGTCTTCGCATCCTCTCCACTCTGGGACGATGGAGTTCTTCTTCGGCGTCGGATCGAATCTCCTCTGATAACTCTTCGAAGCCCGATTCAGACATCATCGGATACAATGCTGGTTCCCTGGGTGGTGGGTGTTCCATGCGTAGATGCCTCCTCAGTACTGGTAAGGTTGCCGGAACGTTTGGATGAACTACTGGATTAGTAGCTACCCGAACTTGTCGCATTTCTTCCCGCATATCATCGGCGAAGCGTGCGAAATTATTGATAAGATCCTCCAATTGCTTGGATGTCTATTTTTGTGTTTCCCATAACGCCTCCAAACTCCAATCTTCGTCGGATCTGGGCCGGCTGCTACCTTCCGCCATCGTCGCCGGCAACTAGCTCTGATACCAAAGTTGATGCAGCGGCTAAGCAAAGAAGAAGAAGAACCGCAAGGGAGATCAATGGAACAGTAACCTGAACAGGGTTCTTAATATTCAATGAGTAAAAAGCCGTGTCATCCCTTCTCTAGATGAAACATATACTAGGAAAAATTAAAAGGCAGAAAGCATAATGGGAAAATGCTAAAAGGTAAAGCTGAAAAGCAAAACAGAAAGGGTAAATGTCAGGGACAGTTCGGTAGTGCTGCTTTTCACCCAACTCTAAGTTCTGCATGAGTAGCCAGGCTAACCGGTTCCCGCATCATATTGGGTCCACAAGTGATCTGATTATGAACAAACATAAAGCACCAAACATGATAGAGCTGACTATCAAGAAGCACAACAAAACACATCTAGAATCCTAATGATTAGGCTTGATAAAACCTAATAGTCTACAACAGCAAAACTAATGAGTAAAGTAAAGTAACATAACATAATTACATCCATAATCATATACAGAAATAAGCAATAACCTAAATAAACACAAATGAAATAAGTTACGAACCTAACTAAAAAACAATAACAATACGACTAATGAGATTGCGTGGTTGTCATTTAGTTATGGGGGAAGTAAACCAGAACTAGGAATCCAAACATTCTCCCCAGTTGCAACAATACGACTGAACATAAGATCCAACTTCTCTTCTAACTCTGGTGGTATTCCATTGAAACGAAACTTCTTAGCATTTGGCATTACCTAAAGTACAATGCGTTATATTACGTAAGTGTTGGTTTGAATTTAGAGTATAAAGTGAATGATTTAAAATTTGAGAGATACCTGCAATTTTTCATTCCACCAATCATTAGAAGCATCAACTGTTTTTTTAATTGGATTCCAACCAATTCCAGTCTCGCCTCGCAACAAATCTTTCCATTGCTTCCAATCTTTCTTTAATTGGTCCCACTTATTTTTAAGTTGGTTTCGGTCATAAGTTCGTCCAGTGCGTTCGTTGAAATTTTTAAGTAGATTTTTCCAACCTTCTTTAGTAAAATGTGTGGTTGGTCTATTTCCCAATATATATCACAATATGTTAAAGTCGTATCTATGTCCCATGATGTAGGTGCAAATCCTTCTTTTTGATTTCTCATCTACATGTTAAAAAAAAAAATTTAAGATAGTTGTATTATTTATACGAACAAAAGAATTTTATTGATTTAAAAAACTTCTAATTGTAGGTTACTATTTATTTTTTTATAAATCATGCATATTGTATCAAATTGTGCCTAATAATAATTAACACTTGTAATTTTTTGTAAGGGAAGAAAAAAAGTTTTAGTTGAACCACTTCATATAGAATAAGCAGTAGTAGAAAATAGGGTAAGCGAATCACCTGAAACAATGGAAGAAGCTTAACGTTGCTGATGATCAGAAGAAATAAGTTGAACAACTTCAAATAGAAAGAAGAACGCCTCTTCTGAACGAGCTGCCAAGCGGGAGATTTACAAGAGCATAAGAACCTGGATTAACAAGATTAGGAGAAGGTTAGATTGTCCGACGTATGCATCTGCGACTAGGAAAATCACTAGGGAATGTTTAGCAACAGGATTTATGCAGGATTCGAGCAAGATTTTTGCAAAATCCTGGCAAACGGGATTTGTGCCCGTAAATCTCAAGGCGGAATGAGCAGACAAAGAAACGAAGAAAGTTACCTTGCAGAGCGAGCGATCTACCGTTGTTGCTTCCGATAAACCCTAAAGTTCTGTGACAGGGAGGGAACGTCGTTGAAGGAGCGAAGTCGAACAACAACGAAGGAGCAAGAGGTAGGAAATTCGGTTTCAGCTAGGAGGTTACGCGAAAAATGCCGAAAGGGATGGTTCGGTTTCCTGAATCGATCGGGAGCAGACTGTCTTGTTCGGGCCTTCTATTATGAATTGAGCGAGATTTCAGAATCGATGGGCAGCAGCCTGTCTTGTTCGGGAGTCCGGATGGAAGGAGCTAAAAAACAAAACAGCAACAGTTTTTTTGTCTTGCCATTTAAAGACGAAGGTTTCGTGGTCGACGTGAGAACGTGGAGGGTTAATTCCGACATTTGGTGAGCGAAACTGTGTTTTTTGAACGAATAAGCATACAAGGAAAAAAATTTTTTAACGACTCAAAATACGTGGTTTAATAAAAATTGATTACGGATAAATTTGTCTTCCAAACAGGTACCACAAACTGATTTAAGCTTATTCAAACAGAAACAGAGGAAATAAACTTAATTAAACGAGGCCTTAAACTCTTCAACATTGAGACACCTTTTTTGTAATGGTTTAAGTTTTATTAAGAAACTCCAAAATTAAGAGTGCTCGTGCGAGAACAATCTTGAGATAGGTGACATCCTAGGAAGTTATACTAATGTGACAAAATCGTAAGGCGATTAGGCCAAAGTGGACAATACATTGATATTTAAGAATTTGGATTGTTACAAAATGGTATTAGAATATTACACCAGCCGAAAGATAGGAACTAAGTGACATACAAGATAAAATGCTATGCCATGGAGGTTACCTCTTGAACCATGTATGAGACAAATCACTATATGGTAGGAGCTCCTACTTGAACTTGTAGGGTTCACCTCTATAATCCTATCTACTAAATAAATAATTCTGAGATAAAGATACTTACGATGATACCAGTTACTTAAGTGGAGGATATTGTAAAACCTCTTAAGTAAAAATAAGAAAAATTATTAAATATCAAGACACCTTATGGTGTAATAATTAAAATTTTACTAAGAAACTCCAAAGTTAAGCTTGCTTATGCAAGAACAATCCTAGGATGGGTGACCTCCTTGGAAGTTACACCAATAATACAAAATCATAAGACCATTAGGCCAAAGCAGATAAGACCTTGATAGTTAAAATTTTGAGTTGTTACAAAAGATGCTCGTGAATATATAAATCCTCAACCAGCACAACCTTATCAATCACACACTCGATGAATATCTTTCTTACCATGTTGTATAAAACTAAGTTGGAAAAATGATCATTTTAATCCATCCTACATAAAATATATGAGTTTTTAAAAATAATTGAAATTCAAAGAGTAGATGCTAAAATAAAAGTAATGAAAAACTTCAAAATTGACCTCGAGTTATCTACTTATAGGCATTGATTGTTGATGTGCCAACCACTTATCTAGTATATAAGCATCTTACAAATCCAACACATCTAGCTTAGCCAAACCAAATCGGGCATGTTTGAGTCATTTTTATATTCTTCTAGGCTTTTAATAAGTCATGATAAACAATAACCGATGTAGACCTACATTTTTCCAAGTCAGATCATTAAAGCTTCGTTTGGGACAGCTTTTTTATTGCTTCTTAAAATAGAGTTTTAGTTAAAAATTAAAAGTTGTACTAAAATTCTGTTTTAAGAAACAATAAAAAAATTGTCCCAAATAAAGACTAAATTATCTCAATATCTT